ATAATGGCTAACTCTAAACAGAATACGTGCTTTAGGAGCTCTAAATGATGAAATTTGACTGAAACGGGCTGCACGGCATGAATAATGTCAATGAGTTTTGCTCGGTGAGCTTTTGCTCTCAAATAGACAAAAAACTCTCCACAAATAGATACTCCAAAATTTTTATTTTTTTTGGAAGTCGATCCCACTTCTCCATCAAATAGTAATTATGATACATGAACGTAAATGTTAATTAATTTAGAATCAATAATTAGGAATACATACTTGAAGATGAATGTTAATGTCCAATCAAGTTAATCAAAATTTTCGTTGTGTAAATTCAGAAATGTATAGATGATGATGTTCTGTGAATGTTAATTAATTTACAATTAGTGACAGGGAATGCATAAATGTTAATTCATTTTTAATCAATGAATATAATATAATGTTCAATTAAGTGGACTTAATCTTACAAATGTATATTAAATGGTTGAGAAACTAATTGAATGCAATGTTTAAATATATGTCGAAAAGGAAGGGAAAATTAAAATAGTTGAAGTTGACAAGGGATGTAATTGTCCAAAAAATATTTTTCGCTTCGTGATACTTAAATGGTAGCTACATTATCACTACAAATTTGAATGGTTATAACCACACCCAATTAAAACCTATTTTTATACACCAAACTATATTTACAACTATTGTCCTGGCCTAATAAAAATTTAAAATGAAAAAAAAAAAGAAAGAAATTACAGTATTGTTATCCCTCATTTCCCTTTCCTCTCCGTACTCATTCTATGTATTTTTTTGTAAAAACACCATCAATACCTTCGCTGTGTTTTTTTTGCTTCAACCTATATCCAATGGGGAGGAAATTAGGCCGTGTACCCTTTTTTTAACAGTGTTTTGATTAATACTCTTAAACTATAATTAAACATTTTAATGAAGTATTAATTACGTCCAAAAAGCCCAACATGTACAAGCGCAAACCACATAATTCAGTAATCTACACTCCTTCCCTAGAAACGTAAAATATCTTTCCCAAATCTTCAGAGGAAAAATCTGCAAATCCGAGCAAATTCCTACTGTAAATCTCCATTTCCCCTATTTTCCATCGATTTCTTCTTCGTCTCCCCTTCGTATCCATTCGGGTTCACATCCTCATTCGTAGAATTTGTCTAGAGGCAAAAATCCGACATATTTTCCATCCATTCCTTACCAAAATCTAACTATAAATTTCCATTTTCGACCATTTTCCATCGATTTCTTCTTCGTATCTGTTTGGTTTCACTATCTCATTCTCATTTCGACCCTAAATCCCAAATAGCCGAAACCCTAGATCCAAAATCTCTTTTTGATTATTAACTCGTATTTTTGCAATGACTGAAAAAAGTGGCTCGAAGGGGCAAAAAAATCTCGATGAAAAACCTTCCTCTAAGAAGAGGAACAAACTTTCTTCATCCGTCTATAAACCCAAGGTAGCAACATTTTTTTTAATGTTTTAGTATGATAATAATATTTGAAATTTGTTGTATCTTTTGTGGGTAATGCTTGGATTGCCACTTAAAATGTGGTGAACAACGATATTACTAAATGGTTGTGTAGCTGAAATCCCATGAAAATGTGGTTGGATTATCACTTCCACCAATAGCATACATCCTCCATTCAATAATACTGTGTAGCGATTACTGTTAATTTGGACTTAATTTGGTTTACCACTTAAAATGTGGTAATCCTCTACACCAAACCTTCTCGAAAGTAATATCATTGTTCACCACATGGATGTACCCTCTCTTACATCTTGGCATCCTCTGCACCAATCCTTCTCCAAAGTAACTGAAAGCTATTGTCACCTGCATAAAAGAACATTTTAGTTCAAGAGTGGATCTAACATTTGATGACTTTTAGCATTCTTAGTCACTTTTTTAAATTTAAGTCACTTTTTTGTTATTTTTTGTCATTTTTTTGAGTGTCTGCCAAAAGTAATTCATGCACATGAGTTCACAGTGACTGATATTTGTATGCAGAAAAGAGTTTTATGTCATCTTGTAGTATCATAAGTGGTCAACTTCTAGGTAGCTTTGGTTCCTTCATGTTTATTTCTTTTGAACAAATTGAATGGTCATGACTTAATTTGGATGCTATTTTGTTATCGCATTACATATCTAAAGGTTCACTTGAATCTATGTAAATATAAGTTGACACTCATGCATAGGCCTTCGGTTTTGTCACTTTTTTTTTTCCTGTGACTTTTTTAATTTTATGTCACCTTTTCATTTATTGTCACTTTTGTGTGTGTAGGCACACCTATTTTCCTAATGCATGTATGTTTT